CTGAGTTATAATTTTGAAGAGATTGCTTTCTTAATTGGTTGAGCTCTATTTACATTGAGCATGGTTCAGGGGAAATTTTCCTGTTATCATTTCTTACAAGGGCAGATCCTTTCCTCTCAGATTAAAACCTGTCATATTAATGCAAGAGGAGCATTGAGATACTAAATACATGGTTGTTCTGGGTCACCTTTCATTGAACACTCACTAAGCCAGGGGTCCCACCCAAGGTCCAAGGACCACCATTTCCAGTCTTGGGGTGGCGATCCCCTGGTTCCTCCCTCATCAGAGTATTTTTACCTTAAGCCCAAAGTTGTTTTGAGGTTGGGCCCAGTTCATTCTGTCAGATTTCCATGTCCAGTCCATTGCTGTGGCCCTTGGGGGGTGCCAGGTTCCCTGTAAGGCCAGCGCATAAGGTCATCACAGTGCCCCCCTTAGGGGGCAGTTCACTGAGGGTTGGGTAGAAACATATGCAAAGTTTCCACCCAGGACCATAGAACTGGGTTTATTCGCTCCTCAGATTCCCTATAATCATTGTTCAGCATCCCTTCCCAGTGTTGGGCCACTCTTCCCCATTTACCCACCACCCCACCAACAGAAATATCAGCACCTCCTCTGAAATATAGATGCTCCCCTCTACTGGTCTTAACTTGATTTTCCAGTAAGGGTCTCCTCTCATGCCTGTGGAGGGCTGGCTGATTTGCCGCAGTCTGGTCTCAACATTGTGTAGCACCAAGTGTGTGGCCTCCCTTTCCCCTTCTTGGGGGGAGGGATCCCAGCCATGTGAGGTCTCCTCTTTTGATGTGGTTCTTATGAAGGGGAGGGATGCATGGTTCAAGGAAACATCAGGAAACTGCAAGTGTTCACTCCCCAAGAGGGATGCACATAAGGGGAGGGATGCATGGTTCAAGGAAACATCAGGAAACTGCAAGTGTTCACTCCCCAAGAGCAAGTGCTTAAGGCCAGAGGATCTTAGAGTCCTTGGATGGTTTTGTGTGGTCAAACAGTCAAGAGTGGGAATACGTCTCCAATCTTTAGTTCCCTATCCATAAACACAAGATGAGCACTACTGCTCCTTTCTGCCTACCATCCAACATGTGGAACATCATTCAATCCCTGCCACACACAAAGGGAATTCCGGGTTCTCAGCAAGTGAGGTTCCATCTGCTTCTCAGCCTCTATCCCCATATGTGTTCCCCAGGAATTGAAGGACCACTTGTGTTGGTCCGGGTAGACTAGAGAAACAAATCCATAGAAACTCATATGTGTATAAGAGAGAACTTTATATAAAGGGTAACTGTATGTTAAGAAAGCATCCCAACCCAGTCCAGTCCAAACCCATAAGTCCTATATTAGCCCAAATAACTGATACCAATCTATAAAGTCCTCTGCAGACTGACGAAACACATGCAATGATGCCCGCCGAATGCAGGACGATCACAGGCCAGTGGGTAGAAAGTCTTTGGATCCACTGGCATTGTAAGTATCTCAGTGCTGGCAGGGCTCTCTACATGACCTTTCCAGGTCCATGGTTCTGGCTGCATCAGGGTAGGACCATGTGGCTTCTCCTCAGGGATGCCTCACAGGGACAACCTTGTGTCTTGTCATTAGAGTATCTCCAAGGGAGTGAGGAGAGAGAAAGAGAATGTCTCCCATCTACAAGGAGGAAAATACAGGAGTTCCCAGAATTCTCAATAAAAGCCCATCCCTACATAGAGGCCTCATTAGTTATATCTTGATTGGCAGACCAGACTCCACCCCTTCACTCTTAATCCTCTCACATTGACACTGTATTATGTAACTACCGCACCACTTATAAGTAAGACCATTCTCATCCTCCACCTATTCTCCCATCTCTATAACCCAAACCCTCAATCTCTCCTTACATCTATCTAGAGGAATCTATCTACTATGACTCTCTGACCAGCAACACAATTGGACTGATGTAGCTATAGCTAGAACAGTCAACTTCTCATTTGAATAGAGCAATATAAGTTAGCCTCTCTGCCTTCTCTTGGAAATCACCTCAAAGCAACAAGGAGAATGAAAGGAAGGAACACTAACTCCATATGCACAAAGTAGGAGAGAACTGAAATTTGGACCCACGAGTGGAGGAATGCACCATCAAAGCAAATAAAGACCATGTTAGAAGAAAATAAAAATCCCCAGCAGCCGAGCTGAGGCAGGGTTTTTGAGACGCATTTCTAGGAAGGGAGACGCCTCCCTGACAATGAAAAACCCAAATCCCTTGCTTTGAAAAGCCAATATGGAGTATGGAAGACCTCTGAGTGGGCCTCTGAGGGATACACAAGAGGATGTGTATTAGCCATGGAGGTGGTGATTAGACATGGAGGTGGTGATAGACATGGAGGTGGTGTTAGACATGGAGGTGGTGATTAGACATGGAGGTGGTAAAAGGAAACGTCTAAATGCAAGCGCCAGAAAGTACAGGGAACAGAAGACTCCCTGGAAGCAAACTGCAGGGCAGGTCACCAACAGTCAACCAGATGGCACGATCTGACAGTCCCCAGCTCAAGGGATGCTTACACTAGCAATGTGGCAAAGCAGGTCTTGAGGCAGAGAACCAGCCAAGGCAGCTGGCCGCTGATCCGACCCCCAGAGAGCAAGAGAGAGCGAGATGGGGCTCGGCCCTGCCGAACCATTTATCTCTTTGCCCACCAATCAACCTGGACCTTATTAATTCCACATGTTCTTATTGGCCAGGTTGACACAATAACCCTACCTATCACAACTATCAAGCCGTATTTTCAAGAAACAGCAATATTTTTGACTGTGCAGAGAAGGGAGGCTTTGCTTATAGAACAGTCCCACAACTGCTGACCAGAAAGGAGCCAAAAGTAAGCAACTTCATACCAAAATTCTAACCTTCAATGAAGTCCAGTCCTCCCCACACACAAACCAACTGCAACCAGCTGGGTCAGGCAAGAAGAAAACCCAGCCTTCCTCAAAAAGGAGTGTTCAAAAAGGAAACACCATGGGATTTACACAAGGAAAATGAGAGAGAAGAGTCGAGCAGAGGAGTTCTCAGAAGAATGTTTTCACACAGCAGATAAAAAATGTGTCACCAAATGTTTCACCATAAGCTGTTTAGAGTCATTTGGCAATTATCTCAGTGAAGCAAAAGCACCAATCGGAGCCAAGAGAGGATTCAATGTCTGCAATATAAAAAGAGGACAAAAGAGGTGTCGAGGGGGGTGTTCATTGTGATACATAGAGAGGTGATCGATACTGTTTAAAAGGGGGGAGGGGAATAATCATGATAAGTAAAGTTGTCCTCATGAAGGTAACTACCAGAAAAAAATACAAGCCTTCCCAATCATCAGAAGAGAAAGGGGGGGGGGGGGGACAAACCGGGAGAACCCTGGTTTTTGTCAACAAACATAAAAGCAGGAAGCATACCATGAAACAATGAAGAAAGTAAAACCAAACATATCATTATGTGCTAACAAGCTATACAGTACATGGTTATTAAAAGGAAACGACTTCAGATTGTCCCACAAAGAATAACCAACTCGGCTTCCTATAAAAATCACATCTAAAACAAAGGCATTTAGAAAGGCTGAACTAAAAAGATAGTCAATATCATACTAGATGCACAGAAAAATGAAGCAAGTCATGATCTTAACATCTGAAAGGCTGAATTCAGATGAAAAGCATTAACTGAGACGAAGAAAGATCATTTATAATACTGAGAGGTACAATTCATAATTAAGTGACAATAGTTATGACTACTGATGCAGAAAATTGGCTGGCATTAATATTTACTAAGCAAAAGTAACAGAAGATAGGAGAAGAAATAGGAAAAAGCAGGTTGGTAGTAACAGTGTTTAATTCAACTCTTTGTGATCAAATGACTAATAAACAAGTTTACAGAAGATCCCCCCTCTCAACAAAAACCTTAATGAGGTACATTTAATATCTACAGTCCAAACTATAAAACCACACACAAATATACATAAAACAAAGGGCCACTGCGTTGTTTAAAATCAGGAGATATGTAGGTCAGGGTGGTAACTTTCCACCATTCTCAGTCAATCTGTACGCTGAGCAAATCATCCAAGAGGCTGAATGTCTGCCGAAGAGCGTGCCATCGGGATGGGCAAAGTCTCATGAACAACTTGTGATATGCAGACAGCACGGCTTTGCTTACCCCCAAACCAAGAGGCCTGGAAGCACTTGCTGATGAAGACCGAAGACTAAAGCCGCCGGCATGGAAGACAAGTCAGCATAAAAAAAACAGACACTCCCAGCATTCCTGGTCCAACGGACAACATCAGGCTACCTGGAGAACAGGTCAAAACTGTCCCGGATTTCATTTCACTCGGTTCCATCGTCAAAGCCAATGGAAACAGCAGTCCAGAGACCAAACAGGTTATTACACTGGGACAACAGGCCGCACAAGACCTCCCTAACGCGTTCCAGAGCAACGATGCCTCGTTGAGGACTAAGGTGCACCTGGTTGCAGCCATGGTACTTTCAGTTCTTCGTATGCGTGTGAAAGCTGCACAACGAAGAAGGGAGACTGGAGGAATCATGAATGATGGCGTGGGCAGAGAATATTGAAAGTGTCACGTGTGGACTGCCAAAAGAACAAACAAATGTGTCTCGCAGGTTGTAGAGCCAGAATGCTCCTGGGAAGCAAGACTTTGCCTCTGAACATGTCACCAGGAGAGCCCACACCCTGGTAAAGGACATGCTGGGTCAAGTAGAGGGTCTGCAAAAAAGAGCAAGACCTCCGGTGAGAGGGATTGGCACCGAAGCTGCCGCAATGAACTTGGCAGAGCAGCACTGGTGGGGAGGACGCAGGATAAGGACATTTGACTGCATGGGTGGGGTCACTTGCTATGACTCAGCGCTGACTCGATGGCAAATAAAGAAAAGGTCTTGATTTACAGTGCACACCGAGTAAACAAATGATAAATGCATTCCCTGACCATATTGCACCGAAAACTAGACGTGAATAATAAAATCAAGATAAATAAATAAAAAGCCCTCACCACTTGAATGCTGCATGTCATCCTTGCGCAGGGGCCATGCTAATCTTCTTTGTATCGTTTCAGTTTTAGTATATGTGCTGCTGAACCCAGTACCACCGCCTGAAGTGTTTATGCCTTTTAAAAATAAATCTTAAATTAAAAAAAAGAAATATAATTAATTGTGGCAGAAGAGCTGGAAATGATGATAATTAAAGCAATATGTATGAATCCTATGGGATATAGTTCAATATCAAAAGAAAAACATATTGTACAAAACACTAATGTTAATAATCCAGTGTGCAGCACTATGAATGGGTTAAGCCTCCAATTCTAGAAGCTATAAAACTAATGAAATAGGCCACCGGAAAGCAGAAGGAGGGTGTTAAGAGTTAAGAGCAGATGGTGCTATGTTACTTTAAGAAGAAGAAAACTTAGGGCAAATAAGTCCAAGTGCTGACTCTTGGGAAAATACGTCAGTAATCTACTTAGTATGGGCAAAAATCCATAAAAAAGAGAAAGGATATGGATTGGATGTGCAGACACAGAAGGAATTAAAAGACTATTCAACGGTTTGTAAATGCACCTGACAATTTCAATAAAATACACAATTACATACTGAAAGGCCAACAGTTCAAAACCACCAGTAGACGGTGAAGCTTTCTGCTCCCCTAAAGATTTGCAGTCTCAGGAAATCCTATCTAGACAGCTATGAGTTGAAATAGGCCAGATGGCTAAATTGACTTTAAAACAGATAAATTCTAAACACACTGGCTACGAAAGAATAAGGAGGAAAATTTGGCAAAATTTCCCCCCATAAACTTCCAGGCAAGACATTTTTAGAAGATAGTATTCTAAGCCTGTATTTTTTCAAAGAAAAGGGAAACAAGAATTTTGAAAGATATTTAAACTTTTTCAGCACATAGATAAAGAAGGAAATCTTGTAAATTCTTTTGAAGGAAGCAAACATAACATTTCGTACACAACCCAATGATAGACCAGCAACCTGATGTACATCACAGCAAAAGTCTAAATGAAATGACAGGCTAAGACCAAGTAATAGTTCCTTCCAGTATAGTGCAAAGAAGAATCAATATCAAAAATCTATTAATACGTTCACCATATTAATATATACAAGGAGAAAAACATGACATGATTATATCCTCAGATGCCAAATGAACATATGATAGAACTCAATAGTCTTCCTTTTTTCCCCACTTTAATTTAAATATAAAATATGTACTGTGAAGAGCACAAATCTAAAGGATAGAATTCAAAATATTTTTGTGTTTATACTAGAGTGCTTCAAAAAGTTCATGGGAAAAGGAAATTTTCCAAATGGAACTCTTCCAAGAACTTTTTGAAGGCCCTTGTATATGCATTTATATAAGGTACAAATAAGGGAGATGGCACATACACTGGGTTGGCACTCAAACTCACTGCCATGAAGTGGGTGCCAACTCATATTGACCTGACAGGAAGGGGTAGAACTGCGCCTGTGGATTTATTTCTGAGACTGTGATTGGTTATGAGACTAGAAAGCTCCATCTTTCTCCTGCTTGAGAGGCTGTTGGTATTGAACTTTGGACCTTGCTCATTGCAGCCCAATTCATAACCACTGTGCCACCAGGGCTCCTCGTGGACTGGCATAGTTGTTGCAATAATGGACTCGATCACAAACGATTGTGAGGATGACCTAAGACTGGGCAGTATCGTACTCTCTTCCACATAAAGATGCCATGAGTTGGAGCACACAGGATGGCACTAGTCCACAGCCACCACCATGATGGTGCATTTCCAGAAGATTCCCCGTGTACCTTTACAGTCAACAATTCTCCCATGCAAGTAACCACTGGTCTCACTTTGATGGCTAGGAGTTACCTTTGTCTGCTCATGAACTCCATATAAAGGAAATCCCATACTACACACCTTTTCCCACATTAATTTGTTAAAAACTTTTTGTTAAGTCAGAATAGATAGCTATTCTTTTAGCATATACTCTCTTTCTCTGGACCTTGAAGTGTAATGAGGCGATGTTAGCAGCATTTCCATTAATAGAAGGAACACAGAGAAGACGTTCACTGTCTGCACTACGATTTAACCGGGTTCTAGAAATGCTAAGCAACACAATTATAGGTATTAGATTTAGAGACCTTATAAAGGAAGGGCTAAAACTATTATTATTTAAATAGGAAACAAAAAACCCCAACAAGGACAACATGAACAAAACACAAACCATTATAGCAAGACAATTCAGTAAGTTGCCTGGAAAGAAAATTTTGTACATTTTTGGATAGATGCTGTCAAATCGATTCCAACTCATAGTGACCCTATGTTCAACAAAAAGAAACACCACCCAGTCTGCCCCACTCTCACAATTGTTCTTATATTTGAGCCCGTTGTTGCAGCCATTGTGTCAAACCATCTTGTCAAAAGTCTTCTGCTTTTTTGCTGCCCTTCTACTTTACCAAGTATGATGTCCTTCTCCAGGGACTGGTCTCTCCTGATCACATGTTCAAAGTACATCAGACAAAGTCTCTCCACCTTTATTTCTAAGGAGCATTTGGGCTGGTGAAAATTAAAGGAAAAAAAATCAATCCTCGAGTTTCAATATTGAAAGACTATGAGAAAAATATTGGATGATTCAGGAAGTATCAAAAGAAGATGGAAAGAATGCACAGTCATTGTACCAAAAAAACTTGTTGCTCTTTCACCTTCTGGATGGTGGACCGATTCTTAGTCACCTTTTTCTTCTGGACCTGACCTCACCCCAGGACAGTATTAGAATCACGAGCCATTGCAGATCAAAAGGGCAGAATTTACCCCAGGACAAAATCCAGAGGGTTAGGAAAGAAGGAGGGATGGAGAGGAAGTGATGTTACACCGAGGGCCTTGCAATAGGAGAATTAAAAAATAAAATGTGCATAAATTGTTTAATGTGAAATGAATGATCTATTCCATAGACTGTCATCTAATGCACGATGGAAAGTTAAAAAAAAAAAAAAAAAAAGACCGGAACGAAAGATTTCCAAAGGTTTGAGAAGACAAGGTAAAGGATTAGGATGAAATGTGCCAAGAGGTAAAGAACATGCTCACTATTTCTCAAGCTGTAAGAGCTGAAGAAGAAAAAAAAAAGCAAGGCACAAGCTGCAACTGTGATATCTTCCAATGGGCCGAATCTTGAACAACACAAAAACCATCGACAGAAGATGCAGGAACTATCTAGCCACGTTACTAACTAGAATAGATTGACATTCAACTACTTCAGGTGGTAAGTAGCATGTGACCAAGAACTGATGGTATTGAAGGAAGAAGTTGATGGTGCATTGGTGAAAAAAAGAATCCAGGAGTTGACTGAATACCAATGGAGATGTTTCAACAAGTGGCCCTAGCACTGGAGGTGTCCATTCAGCTATGTTAAAAAAAAATTTACCTTGGTCAGGTCTACTGACCTGAAAGAGATCAATATTTATTCCTATTCCAAGGAACAGTGAACCAACAGAATGTAGACATTATTGTACACTATCATCAATAAAACATACAAGTAAAACTTTGCTGAAAACAATGTCAACATATTTTTATATGTTAAAAATGCAGTACCTCATGTGGGAACTGCTAGAAAGGCAAACCAGCTTCAGAAGAGGACACAGAATCGGGGATACTTGTTGATGACAAATGCAACTTGATTGAAAGCAGAGAATACCAGAAAGACGCTTACCTATGTTTTATTGACTATTCAAAGACATTCAGTTGTGTGGATCATAATAAGTTATGGATAACATTGGTAAGATGGGATTGGGAATGAGAAGTACAAAACACTTCACTGGAAAAGACAAAGAGGAAGTCATTATTCAAGAAGACCAGGAAACACTGATGATTTAATGTCAAGAAAGGTGTGTGTCAGGGTTATATCCTTTTACTGTACTTATTCAATCTGAATGCTGAGAAAATAATCCACGAAACTAGACTGTATGAAGAACAATTCAAACTCAGGATTGAACCGGACTCATTGACAACCTGCAATATGCAGATGATACAACCTCGCATGCTGAAAAGTAA